GATGTAGATTACAAAACCAAATAGGTTCTTAGTAGCATGGCATTAGATGTTTACTCTTCTTGTCATGCAGTTTGACCTCTGAGCATCTTTGATATAAAGCAAAAAAGGGAATTGACTTTGTTTCGGAAGAATCTGGATATAACCTGATGGTATCAAGTATTTCCAACAATGTCTTGCACAAATTTCGTTCAATTCTGACTGATGTCTTCAAAGACGATAGCCCGGAACAAAATTTTACTGATCTAACCTTCCAAATCCACTCTGCGAAGTCAGATGCTCCCCATTCCATGTATCAACTTGATCCTCCATTGTTGAAGCTATTAAGATGAACTGAAGACTGAAGTGTTGACACATAAATGGTACTCTTGCTGAATAGTAACACGGAGTACTAGCTAGAGCCGCGAGTACATACATGGGACTGAAGCTCTGTGCGCTGCTGCTTGTGGGATCAGAAGCAAGAGTACAAACGCTGGGCGTATGCCGGGACCCGGAGGTAGAGGATAAACAGGACGCATCTCTGTCCCCACTTTGGTCTGCATCTGTTGCACTGCACAAAGCAGCCCCACCACCCTTAACTGAATTTCAAAGCAGCCCCACAAAACCTAACTGGATTTGCGTGGTTACTGATATGTAAATTACAAAACTGAGTAGGTTCTTAGTAGTACATCAAAACAGACAGCCCAAACGTCCACGGACAGCGGGCGGTCATCCAACCATATGCACCGAATATCCGTCCCAGTCTTTTCCCTATATCCGAAGCATTAATAATTATAGATGAATATCATCCTTCGTCCATAATCATGTTGTGCAAATATTTCAGTGCAATAATAATTCAAATATAAATATTACGATCAAAACATGAAGTTTTTCAATAAAATAGTTCAAATTTTAATTCAACTTATCTGGACATATTTTTTAGTTCTCCCCTCGGAGCACCCACAAATGCTCAACCAGATCGTTCTGAAGCTGCTTATGACTTGCTCGATGGCAAATCTGTTGACGCATTTCACTAAAATCCTCAAACATCGTCAAATTCTGCTCTGAAAGTCCCATGTGTTCAAATTCCAGATCATGGCGAACTCTATCACCATCACCCTCCATAAATGTTGTGCATAATCACACAAACTGTCATCACCTCCCATAAAGTCTCTAGACCCATATTTTGCAGGTAATCGAACAACTGCAAAACGGGCTTAGAACACTCCAAATGCTTTCTCGACATCCTCTCTAACTTCTTCTTGTCTTTAGGAAAAGTAAGATCCTTTCTCACCCCTTGGTTTAGAGATGGTCTTGACCAAAGTTGCCCACGAAGGGTAGATGCCATCGTAAAGATAATAGCCCATGTTGTAGTCATGACCATTGATAGTATAGTTGCATGGAGGAACTTCTCCCTCACACAACCTTGCAAACAATAGAGACACTACAACATGTTGATGTTATTGTAAGATCCGGGCATCCCAAAGAAAGAATGCCAAATTTAGAGGTCTTGTGATGCAACTGCTTCAAGAATGAGGGCGGGGTTCTTGTAGTGGCCGTGATATTTCCCTTGTAGAGCATATGGATGCAATCCAGGGATCCAAGCATCGGGAGAGGAGGCTCCAGGCCACTAGACGGCCCCACCACGTGGCCTATGGGGCGTGGCCATGCCAGGCCGTGTGAGCCCCCCTTGTGGCTCCCCTCTGGTCCATCTTCGGTCTCCGGTCTCATACTTTTCGTAACTAATTTACAAAAATATCTGACATATTTGGAGCTATGAAAATTTGTTTTTTTTCTCCTGTTGCAAATTAGGTATAGATTTCCAGTTGTCCAGTAATTGCCCTCTCTATGTAAACCTTGCAATTTAGACTCTCTGATGTAGTGCAAACCCTATGGTGGTCCGATCTTCACAAATTGGGGGTGGATTTGAGGAGGAAGACAAAGAACACAGAGAAAAACATGGAGAAATTAAAGGGGAAAACACTATTGGACAAGATCCACACAAGCAATACATGGGATGGATCAAGATCCAAGAACAATAAGGGAAATAAAGATACAAGGGTAGTTCATCCAAATCTCTAGGAGAGATGGGTCTTGATGATTCACTTGGGGAATCCTTCTCCTTTAGGAGGTCTTGTTGATTCACTTGGGGAATCTTTCTCCCTTAGGAGGCCTTGGCAACCATACATAGATGGTTCATCTCCCATAGAAGGTAGCCCACGAGGGGAGATACATGAGCTAAGCTCTAGTGTTTGTTCTAATCTTAGCTAACCCTAGAAATGAGGTGGGGGAGGAGTATGAGGTGGGGGAGGAGTATTTATAGGCTAGTCCATGAAGGGGGTAAGTGGTGGGTAAAATGGGAAGATACATGGGCAATGCCCAACACATGCACGCCTTGATGCAGAGACCGGGGGTCATCCTCCTTTTCGAAAAAAATGCACACAAGCAAGTCCAGGCACTCGAGGTAAAGGGGGCCGGGCACCCGGAGTCGAGGTGCTGGGGGGTCCGGGCACCAGGGGTGTCCAGGGGGTTGGTGCCAAAGTCCGGGCACCCGGGGTGTCCAGGGCCCGGCGCCCAATGTCCAGGCACCCAGGGTGTCCTGGGAGCCTCCCGGAACTCCGGGTCCTAATGCTTCTCTTGCGTCTTCATGGTTCCTTCTCCGCTTACAGGCTTCCGTCTTGGATGGTGTAGTTGTTCTCATGCGCTTGAACCCCTCCTCGACATCTACGATGCTCCGCTCGAACCTATGTATGCACGAGGTGGGAGGGTCAAGTAGTATACCATCCTCGAAGGGCACAAGAAGACACGTGTAAAGGAGAAGATTGACCTTTACATGTTTGAAGTAGATGTTCCACGTGTCTCTTGACATGGTGATGTCCGTAGGATGCTCCACATCACTCTCTAAATGTTGAGGAGGTAAAGTGGACTCTGTTTTCTACTTTTGAGGAGAAAAACTGCCATTGCTTGTTGAATGCCTCTTACCACCTGAAATTGACATTTAACTTGGAAAAAAAACTGGAGCTACAACAAGTACATGGGCTTGCAGCTCTGTGGTCTGTGCGCTGCTGCTTGTGGGATCAGAAGCAAGAGTACAAACGCTGGGCGTACGCCGGGACCCGGCGGGGGCCGACGGGGACGCACACATCTGCACGATAAACAGGGCACATCTCTGTCCCCACTTTGGTCTGCATCTGTTGCACTGCGCAAAGCAGCCTCATCCAAGCATCCATACGCTGATCCATATATCCATTGCAGCACATGATGCAGTACCACACCACACCTCACCTCCACCTCCAGGACACGCACAGCAGCAGCATGACTGACCGGTCAAGAAGAAGAGAACATGTTTCAGTCCCACAGCAACAGCGTGCTCTCACCACCCCAGCGCTTGCTTTGGGGGCTCGCTTTAGCTGTTCAAAGCTACTACTAAGCCACAAAAAAAGAAGTTAAAGAGAGCAGGAGGGAATCAGAAGGGTGTGTGGGGGGAGGAAAAGCATTGCTTGCTTGCTTGGCTGCTTTGGCTGGCAGCCTGGCTGGTGTTCCTCTGCTTTCTCTTTGCCACTGCTTTAATTTTCACCTGCTTCTTTTTTGTTTTCATTTTGGCAAATTGCTTATTGTTCTTTGGTGCCATGTTGGATGCAAATGTGTTATTCCGTGTGTTTAAAGTAAGTTCAAATTAGCACAAGTTTTGAAATTTTGGAGGGGAAAAAACAAGTGGACATGTACAATCGGCAAAGCAAGATGGGGAACTGGCAAAAGCCTCTCTACTCTCTAGTGAGCAGGGTTACTTTATTAGGTGAGAACCTGCAGATTGTGTATTGGTCCTTGTTTGCTGACCTGTTGTTTGTTTGTTTGTTGGTTTCCCCTGTGGCAAAACCTACTGTGTGGTTCTGAAACTGATACAGTGACAAGGGGGAAAAGAAAGTGGGCATCAAAACCAAACAATGTGCTAATAGTAGTAGGAGCACTAACATGACTAAAGTCATTTCTGCCAAAAAAAAAAGAAAGGGAAAGCAGCTCTTGCCCCCATTGCCAAGAATCTTTGGTGCTTGAGAGGGAAGCTTGGTCACTTTACAAAACTGAACCCCCCCACCACACCACCAGAACACAGCCTCTGTTTCCGCAAAAAAGCTAAAGTTTTTATGCTTAAAACCTTCTTAAATAGCAGTGCTTAGAACAAGATAGTCCCAAGTCCAGGCCACCCTCCCCCTCCCTAGTTACACCACAACATCCATCCAGACCCAGCATAATATATTGTAGTAGCTCTTGTTTGTTCCTTCTTGAGATGCAATGCAATGCAATGCACCATCTCTCTGCCCCACCATAACCGTCGGAAGCTTCCGCGCCCCTACTCTCGCCCCGGCGATCTTCCGGACTTGCCAGCGCCCCTGAAGAAGAAATCATCAGATTAGAGGGCGATGAAGGGATTGGAGCAGCATTTGGCAGTCTGTGTTTCTTTCAGGTGACCCTACACTGAACCGTTAGGATCTGTTGTGTTGATAGTTAATCATGGGGTGTGCTTTGTTTGACTGCTTTCATGCAAATAATTAATCATTCCAAGTCTCGTATGTGCATCCTTTGCTACTGAGTATGATAATAATTTCTTGAACAGAAAAGAGGAATAAGAGTAATCAACTTGCTATAGCTGAAAGAATAGCATATCATCATAGGGAAATGTGTCCCGGCGACAAGACCAAAAATATCATATGCTTTTTTTTTGAACAATATTATTGTGGAATGTGGGTGTGAGGCAGGAGGAAAAAGAGCTGTGCCATCTTTGTTTACATTCTCATCTCTTTGTTCTTATCACCCCTTTATGGTCAAACAAAATTATGTCTTAAAGCATGTTGAGTTCCTGAATTCTTATATATTTCTCTTTTTGCTCAGCATAAGAAATTTCAGGAAAACAGAGGATATGGAATGCTACAGAGTGAACTGGTGTAGTCTATCAGATGGCACATTATACACTAGACCTATTTCATGGGACATTAAACATGTCATAAACCAAGAACTTGTTCTTGGTAAAGAGCCATCCCAGGCAGTAAGAGTGCTTTATTTCAAATTTGGTGAAAAAAAAATTCAATAGAGTCTGTCACCCCACTGCAAAAAAGCACTGTAACAATGGCACACCTCAGACCAACCAACCGGCTAACATTTTCAGATTTCAAAGCAACAGAACCAAACTTCAAGAAACCTAGACAATATTCATGGCCAAGAACATAGGAACTTATATTCTGATCTGGCAAATCAATTTGCAGAATTTACAGGGCCACATGACTCAGAAACTAACATTCGAACTGAAGTTGGATGAACAGAAAGAGGAGGGGAAAGCAGCCCGCAAAATTCAGAGCCAATCTTGCAATGCAACGAACAGAGAAAAAAGTGAGGTGAAGTACCTGTTGTGGATGGGATCAGGGCCATTGGGCACCCTCCTCGCGCTGTCCTGGAAAGGATCATCAGCCCGGAAATCCTCCAGAGTCATCCTGGTCTCTCCTCCGTCTCCAGCCAGCAGCATCCTCCGCCCTCGGATCGCCGGCGTGGACGGCCTCTCCGCCACCACGACGACCAACGACACCAAAACAAGAACTCCGAACAAGACGGCCGCCGCCGATGCCCGCCCCCCGGACGCGGCCGGCCCTCTCATAGCACCACCAACCAGGCACGCGCTCCCCGCCGCCGCTCGCCTCCTCCTCCCTGTCCCCTCCTCTGTTTCTTCTTTCCCCGGTGGAGGTGGGGGTGACGACGCTGGCTTGCTGGCTGCTGCCGCTGCTGCTGCGGCGTGGCTGCATATTATAATGCGGGGGAGAGGGGAAGGGGGAGGGGGAAGTAGAAGCAGCAGGGGCTTGTGTCAGTCGCTGTTGCGAGCGGTAGTATTCCGGCTTCTTGTTTTCTTCTGGGCTTCTTTTGCTTTAGCCTGATTCTGCCGTGCTTTTCAAGGACTCGAGCCATGGTGGCGAGGAGCGCCAAAGCGAGCGACCCATCGCCATGCCCGCTTTTCTTTTGCCATCGCCATCGCCATGGCCATGGCGCCCCTGCTTTTTTCCTCTTCTCTGAGTTGGCGCTGTTTCCTTTTTCTTTCCAACAATCTCTGGTTTCTTCCTGCGAGCAAAAAAGACATTATTGAGTGAGAGAGTGAGAGTGAGAGTGAGAGGGGGAGGAAGAAAGTAAAGTTGTAGTATGAGCCATTGCTGTCCGAAACTCTGGATCCTGATCCCTAAGGCTGTACTTGCGCTCCGTCTTTATTTTCCCTCTTTTCCTTTTTTTGAGCTCGGGCTACGTAGATGTAGATTCCCTCTCTCTCGGGAGGGGTAAAATTTTTGGGGCTGCATGTTGTCATGTGGGTGGCGAAAGAGACGGGAAAGAATTTCATCTTTGGGGTAACTCTAGGGGAGAGGGCGGGGGCATGGTAAAAGTGAGCAAAGCAAGCCCCAAAGTGAACAGCGCCCTGAAGAAATAAGCGCCGCTTTCAGGCCTTGTGTCACCATCCTTTTTCGTTTTGGGGGTCCGGATTACAATGCGTTGATCAAATGGAGTCCATCCATTTCGAATCTGTTGGATTATCGCTTCATCCTGGTGCCCCCCTGCATGTGAAAATCAGCTCATTGGTTTCAGAATATTTTGCAACAAGAAAGAGAGACAAGCATCACAGGCACTATGGCTGCATTATTTATTTCAGATTTAGCCAAGATCTTCAGAGTACAGTCGTCGGTCGCCCCTAGCATGCAGAAAAGCACTGCAACAATGGCACACCTGAAACCAACTAACAACGTTCAGATTTCAAGCCAGCAGCTCCAAGCTTCAAGAAACCTACAGAAACATGGAAACTTCGCTTCTGATTCGCCGAGTCATGCGCAAATTTTACAGGGAAGCTGCATGAACAGAAAGAGGAGGGAAAGAAGGAAAGATAGCTCAATGCTGTTGCTAGATCATCTCTGTTTTGTTATTCAGGAGCAAAAATAAATCGCCTCTTTTAGATTGCTCATCTTTCTCAGCCGGCCTCTGTGTAGTATAGCAAAATTCTTTACATTTTTTTTTGAGAAACAGCAAATTCTTTTACAGTGCAAGCTTGAACAAGTCAGGGTACCGGCCAAGTGGCCTACCGACTTCAAAAAGAGGCTCTACTCTATGAAGCAAAGGGCCAAACTAGTTGGTTATTTCTGAAACAGGCCGACATAGTTTCTTGTGTCCTGAAATCAACTGTGAAGAACGACAAGAACAGCAAAAACTAAAGTGGAAACAGGTAGCTGCCTCTGCCTGCCACGGTTAGCATGACACTTTAGTAATTGAATTCCACAGCAGTAAAATGCTAATCACGTGGACGAGATAGCCAGTCACCTGCATGGCTATATATATATGTGGCACCATTGAACACAACTCCAAAGCATGCAAGTCACCAGTCTGAAAATGTTCGTACCACCTCAATATTCATTGCAATAAATTCAGATTATATGTATATGCCCAAGAGGAGTTGGTGATGGAGCCCAATGTAAATTATGGATGATACACATGAACGAAAATGTATTGCAGACGTACCTATAGCCAGCAAATTCGTTAGTGTATCTTCAACGCGGAGTCATGGACGCTTAAACGGACGCCCTCAAATATTCGCAAACGCGTCTTGACATGTCCATGGGCATTTGGCCGGGTGGCGACCATCCAACACTTTTCTCAAATATTCCCTATATGCCCCCCTCCCCCCTGAAAGGCTCTCTCCCCAGAAACAAAAGGATAATCTTATGTTGATCTTCGGCTACACCAAAAAAGCGTGGGCCCTGAGCTAGTTCTTACATGGGCAATGAGGCGCTCAGCCGAGCTCGGTCTTCCAAAACACTACGGGTTTGTCTTCTCTCCAAAAAACCCAGCCCATCTGATGGATCCCACTGTGTTACCTCTCGTATCCCCACTTCCCGGAAATTTACTCGCTCGTTGTGGTCCGCGAATAGACCTCTCCCTACATTATCGATTACTGACACCACCAGCTGATAAACAGTAACCCATGCTACTAGCTCCCTGTTGGGAATTAGCACACAAATGCACTTGTGGTTAACTGATATAACTGCAGCGGAAACAAAGTAATCTCAGCACCACATCATGTACTAACTCAATGATCGTTGCTTAGCACGGAAGGAAACATTGCAGCAGCATATATGGAGACAAAAAATGTTAAGCAGCAGGCAAGACACTCCTCAGCCTAGTGTTTTGTGGTAGGAGTAAGTTTCTGGACAACACCAAGCATCAACAAAGAGACACTAGATTTACGTGGAAAACCCCTCAACTTGAGGGGAAAAACCACGGGCCTAAGCCACCCAAATCCTCTTCCATTATTATCAAATGTGGGATACAACAAGTTCTTCTCTAGACAGCACTAGAGGATCTCATACATCAAGATTTCTGAATCATGGATGAACACAACAAGATTTGGGGCTCAAGAATTAGGGATTGGAACAATCTCACCAAAGATGGTGGAACCGAAGTTTGAAGGAGGCAAGATAATGGATCTGGACCATCACAACCTTGGGGAGGAGCTCCCTTTGCTTCTTCCTTCAATCTTCCTCTTCTTCCCTTGCTCTCTTGGTTTTTTTCTCTCTTCTTCTCTCTTGGAGGATGAACTAATTTTCGTCACACTTGGTGGTGACTGCTGGATGGGTAAAGCATCCCCATCCACTCATGTGCAAAGTCCAAAATGACCCTAGGTCATAACCCTAATGGGTAGTGGGCTTCTGCACCTCTTTGGGCTGCCTAAAAGGCCTCAAATGGTCATCTCTTCACAGCCTACATGAGGAGGATATCCCAACAAATCTCCCCCTCCGACTCATGAGGGGGGCACCGCCATGCCCGCTACCTTGCAACATACTTGTAGCTTCTCATTTGGCAATATCTTAGTCATCATATCTGAACCATTTTCGTCGGTATGGATCTTCTCAAGTTTCAGCAACTTGGAACTCACGACATCTCGAATCCAATAGTACCTCACATCAATGTGCTTGGTTCGAGAGTGATAGCTCGAATTCTTGGCAAGATGAATAGCATTCTGACTATCACAAAACAGAACATACTTGTCTTGCTTCATGCCGAGCTCTTGCAAGAAGTTCTTCTTCCACAAAACTTTCTTGCCAGCATCAACTGCTGCAATGTACCCAGCTTCTGTAGTTGATGTAGAAACACATTTCTGCAATCTTGATTGCCATGACACTGCTCCCCTGACATAAGTCATCAGGTATCCAGATGTGGACTTCCTACGATCCTTGTCACCTGTGTAATCTGCATCTGTATAGCTCTGCAATACAGGATCACCGCTTCCAAAGCATAAACAAGATGTAGAAGTACCCTTGAGATACCTGAGAATCCACTTCACTGCTTCCCAGTGAGCTTTACCTGGATTTGTCATGAACCGGCTAACAACT